AACGTATGGAATACAAGAGATCCGGGTTCGACTCCCGGCCGAGATAATATTTTTCGCAATAAATTTATTTACAGTTTTTCAGCACAATAACATCTTGCTAATATAATGCTTGATTGTACATCAAAATTATTTAAGAATTGCTTGTCAATTTAATTTAATTCGTGATATTATTCCAGTAGTTTAATTGTGTTTATAAGTCCGGAAAACCAATTCGAGGCGCAGTTTGAAGGACTACAAATATGTTATATATCCAAGTACATATGTAGTATATATATAATTCACATTGAATTATTTAAAGTATTAAAAGATCTAACTTTGACCGGTATAGGCTGTTGAATTTCTATTATTAATTAATCTTTATAATAATGTCGATAAAAAAGGCATTTTCTTATCTCGGCTGATTTCATGATACAAAGTGCAATTTTCTCAGAGTATTATAAAGTATCATTTTTAGCTTTAGTATAACTTCGTGATACGATATCATAGCAATGTCATGTGTAATCCCAAGGATATCGATATGCAAATGCAAGAATATACTTTGAACTCATCCGATCCGTGAATTATGCTCGAATTACGAACTTATTATCGCACGCGGTGTCGACTTTTAAATTGAATGGCGATAGTATTGTGAAAGAGAGATCTAGCGATGTATATTCTATAAGATCAATTATATAATTATTTTTATTGTTAATTATGTTATTATATATATAAAAAAACATTTTCATTAACACTTTCTGTGACACCGGGTCACCGATGATCTAAGACTTTCGGACGGTGAGCTGGACTTCTTGTTCAAACTGTTTTTTATAAAAATAAAATTCTTGAATTTTTAATAAAATACATTTTATGTAACAAATATAATAAATATAGATCATCATCTGTGATCTACACAGCGGTTAAATCACCTAAAATTGATGCGGCATGGAACGTATTAATCGTAAAATTCTTCTATCTATCTTATGCATATTTTAAACAAATGAATTTCTTTATTGGATTCATTATTGCAAAGATATTCAGAATAGTTCTATGCAATTACTAATATTTTAGAAAATTATTTTATACATATTATCATATAGTTTTTGCATTATTATAATACATTATAATAGTAAATTAATAAGAATTTCTTTTGCAGGGAAACACCTGGCAAGTGGCGCCAAATCGTGGGCCAGTATGAATATCATTAAATTTGTGATGATCCTCAGGTTACATCTGTTGTTGGCCTAAAACGCACAGCACCAAAAATTTTGTATATTATTAATTATTTTAATAAATTGTTTTTATTACCGAGACCCAAAGAGCGATTTTTCGCAATTTGATAAAAATTCGACTATAAATATAAGATTTAAAAAGCGAATATACAAGGTGATCCATTTTAATTTATCACCCTAAATATTTCCGTTCCTTTGCATTTTACAAGAAAATGTTTCAAACAAAAGTTGTATGGTTTCAAGGAGCCCATAAAATGGTATCATTGGTTTAACCTTGGATAATCGCTTAAAAGTCACATGAGAGAAGGTCATCTTCAATTTCTTAAACTAAACCCACTATTTTTCATTACATATTCTTGTAGCTTACTTCGAGAGCTTTCCAAAATACTATAATAAAATATTTTTTCATTAAGTATTTTTCGAGTTATAAGGTTCGGAAGTTATAGTACAGCCGGCATCAGCATTATTATTATTTTCATTTTTATGTAAAAATGAATTTTTAGTATAAAAATGAAAATAAGAGATACAGCTTGCAATGGCCTTGATCTTGACAAATGTTATCCAGAACATGATCTTCAATGAACAATATTCAAGAGGTTTTAGCCATCAGTCGGACAACTTGCGTCATCTATCACCCCAAATATTTCCGTTCCCTTGTATTTTACAAAAAAATATAAGGGAACGGAAATATTTGGGGTGATAGATTAAAATGGGTCACTTTGTATGTAAGGCAAACGAAATTAGAAAACAAGAGAAAAAAAGGATAATATTAGTTTTTAAATACAATTCTCTAAGACATATTATTTATAGAACAAATATTGATTGTGATAATACGGGAAGGTCGAGCAGTATTGAACACTTTTTTAGATTTTTCGTTTTTTCGGATGGCAAAAAAGTGTAATGTACATGAAACATTATTTTTATAAAAAACACACTTTTAATCATATTTCTCTAAAAATGAAAGTAGCCAATATTTTTATATTTCTAAATGTCATAACATTTTCTTGTTTTTGCCAATTGAAAGGTAGTATTGCCTTGGAAATGAATTTTTTTAAACATATTTTTAGGTTTTGCAATTATCTATGAGTAGTTTTTTTAGTGATATCTCCTGTCTTGTTTCAATAGCTTTTAATCTCGTAATGTACTGTTCGAAACTCTCAACAAAATAAGAAAATGTCCGATACTATCAAACAAAAACAAGAAAATACCCGATACTATCTAAATAATGTACAACGAAGAAACAATGTATAAAACGAGTTTTAAAACGAGAACGATATCATCAACTATAATTTAAAAAATAATAGATTTTTGTAAAAAATAATAGATGTTATATTGATAAACTAAAAACGAAATTCGATTTATATAATGTGACTGATTAGTATATACAGTTAACCCTATGCTGACATAAACAACAATTACATAATAAAATGCATAATAAGTCATAAACACTGCCGTTATTCTCAATGTTATAGAGAGTCCCGACTACTCTCATGTGCGGGTAGATTTCCCAATAGCTTAACAAAAGCTGTTACATGCGTCTAAAATTTTAAACAATTCTTATCCGATACCACACTCAACCTTCCTCTATAAATTGTGTATATGTACAAATGAGGTGTAAATATATTTTGAGCAAATTTTCAGAGTTTTAATTATAAACAAAATATTATTATGTAGATTACTGATAGTTTCTGTAAACAAAAATTTGTGAACCCGTACAAAAAGTTACAAATAACAAATATAATCTCTCTCATAAAATATATTGCATTGTATCGCCGAGTAAGAGAGATTTAATGCAATGTTGAACGTTTTGTGGTAATATGATGTACGAGATTGTTAGTCACGCGATCTATTGTCTGAGGCTTAATTGCTATTACGACAACATTTACTATGTACGCGACAAATATAAGAGATATATTTATACTTTAAACTCCATTGAATATTATTCCTACAAAATTAATTTTCGATATGTCAACAATGAAGTGTAAAAATAGTAATTTTTAATTCTGCAAATCAAGTAATAGGGTCTTCCAAGTTAATATAATATATATTAAATTTCAATAAATATTATATACTTTATGTTTTTGAAAATTAGATATTTAAGAAAAAATGTGTCGCATGTATTTAACACAAGATTACGAAATTTTATTAACAATGTTTTATAAAATTGTAAAAAATGCAATATCAGCAGCTCTTTCACATTAAAACTTTTCGGAAAATCTTTTTAATTTTATCAAACTTTAAATTATTTTAAATTTCTTATGTGCGTAAATATAAACGGTATAATTGAATGTATTCTACTATTTGTGCTTATGCTTACTATTAAATGCACTTGGTTTACCATGGAATTGTTATCATAAAGATAAGAGCTTAAGCATAATAATTTTATGCAAAATAATTGCCTGGATTTTCTAGCTAATCCGCCTCGTTTCGACCTACATTTCTCAATTTAATATACGTACGTTCCAATTCTAGTTTAAAATTGACATAGATATAGTTGGACATCAAATTTTTTTCATTCGTAATGTTAAGCGTCATACAATAATTAAATTGAAAGCAAAATTTAAACAGCATTATTTGGAAAAACATCGTAAATCGGTCTTTTATAAAGATTATCACTTTTTATTAAAATTATTAACTAATTTTTTATTTTTTCTTAGGTAAAAAGTTACAGTAGGATTTTATATTATACAATATTAAATTTTATATGATATAATATAAAATTATGTAATCCTTTTTTTAAATTAATAGGAAATACATATGATAAAATTTTATAATATACAGGGTGTCCCATAACTCACCTGACAACGCTCGTGAGCAGGTAGAATGGACTGAACTGAGTCGAAAAGTCCTCTACTATTTTGTAATTTTCGCAATAGTTAACAAGATATTAATTACTAAAAATTGGCGAATATTGGTTTTTAATAATTTTTTTTCTCAAATACTATCAATTTTACAAAAAAAAAACTGCAAGAGACAAAAATTGTTTATTTTCTTCTCATAGAACTCTAAGAATTTTTTCAGAATTTTTTAATACCGGATTTTCATGATAGTAAAAATAAGAAAATGCAGTACTTAAAAAGTTGATAAAAAATTCTGAAAAAATTCTTAGAGTTCTATGAGAAGAAAATAAACAATTTTTGTCTCTTGCAGTTTTTCTTGTAAAATTGATAGTATTTGAGAAAAAAATTATTAAAGACCAATATTCGGCAATTTTTAATAATTAATATCTTGTTAACTATTGCGAAAATTACAAAATAGTAGAGGATTTTTCGACTCAGTTTAGTCCGCTCTACCTGCCTACGAGCATTGTCAGGTGAGTTATGGGATACCCTATATATAATAATATATGTGTCCAATTACAATGCAGCAAGTAATATAAATATAGTAAATTTTAAAAAAATATGATTGCAAAAAATATATAAATTCTCATATATATTTATTTGTGTATTTGATAAAGCAGAACATTCGATAAGAAATAATTATTTGTTTCTTGTTTAAAAAATTCTTATAATTTTTAAAATTAAAATAACCGTATTACACGCATCGTGACAACTGACACAATTATACATGAAGATAATTATTTTCCAATATCAACATGTACATACATCGTCTGCATTTTTTTCTATTTTCGACTCACCAACACATAAGAAGAGAAAGATGATCATCAACCAGTTACGAGTAACGGGTACATCGACCGCGTTTTATGAGGAAGGCGAGTCCCAGCTAAAAGTTACGTGGGTTTACGAAAGAAATCGAAGAGCACGAACAGTGAACGATCTCATTTGTCTGAAAAATCTCAGCCGCATCAAGAGCTGCAGCGAGTGCGCGCGGAAACTTTAATTTCGTTCGTTCTTTTTTTAATGAGAAAATGTCACTATTAATTCTTTTCGGCGTTTTATTGCATTGTTGTGCATTTGGTATATCGGGTGAGTTAATTTACTCAATAATTATTTAATTGCATATCGAAGAAAATAATATCTTCTCTGACACGTTATAAAGAAGAAATTAATTAATTAAATCGTATTTAAATTGTATATAGATAGTAATTTTTCATCTTGATATGAATTTTCAACTTGTTTGAATAATTTTTATAGTAAAATTATTGAGCATATTTTTTGTGTGCATATTATTTTGGAAAATGCTATATTAGGTAATGATATTATTTGTGATATCATATGGTATCTTGATATATGTACAAATAAAATAAAAATAAATAATTTTTGTTTAAATAGTTACATTAAATATTAACTTTTCAATGCAATAACACATTTTGAGTGTCGTTTTTGTAAATAAAAAGGAGAATTTTCTATAGAGAACTTTTCTTTAGAATTAAGACGGTTTTGGTGATTGAAATTTTGAAGAAGAAATTGTTTTATTTTAAATTTAATCACTTTAGTTGATCAAGGTATAAACTGTTGGTTATATTTGGAATTATGTCACTTTTGATGAATTATTACGAATTTAATAATCACATATATATATATATATATATCATGCGTAATATATTTTTTTAATAAATAATAATTCTTTCTCAGATATTTTTTTATTATTGTTTAATGAGAGTCCCTTTATGAGCGACTTTCAGATGAACACGAGACACTGGTAGATAATCATGTGTCAGGGGCAACAAATGTGATGAACGTGCCATTAACACCTTCGCCAGAGAATGTACGGCAATTTCAAAGAAATTATCCTTTCCCTTCGCTCGGATACAAACTGCAAAGGTAAGTTTATAAATTTCTTATATTCATTCTTATAAGATCAACTTATTTTGCGTTATACAATTTAACTAAAAATCAATATTAAAAATATTAGATATTTTGTCATTAAATAATTATTAAATATAGTTAATATCTTTTTTTCTCTACATGTCACAAGAAATGTAACAAAAAAATGAGAGAACAAATCTAAAATTATGTAGATAACATTGCTTATTGCAAAGAGGAAATTGATACATTAAAAATAGTATTATAAACTTTCAACAGACAATATTTATTTAAAATAAAGTATAGGTTTTGCTAAGAAGTTTCATTGCCAAAGTTATCTAAATTGCTGCATATTATATGTATGTCTAAAGCGGAAATGTTTTTTAAGATGTCAGAATAGCTTGTGAAAAGTGAAACGTATCTTCTAGTTCAAAAAGTGAACTATTAAAATGAATTTGAACTAACTGTTTTTAAACATTAGAAGAGTTTTTAAAAAAACATTCAGTAAGCGTTAAAACAAAAAATGAGTTACATGTAACGTTTCATGCAACACTTTAAATAATTATTGATAATGAAACAAGAAACGTACAAATAGATAAACATTATATTGGAAAATTTAAAAGTTAATAACAATAAATTAAATTTTAACACTGTAGGTGTTAAAAATTCTAGGAAAATTATATGTATACGAGCACAATATTACAATTATGATAACAATGCTGTTTTATCATTTATGTAAAAAATTAATATATTTAATTATTTCAACAAAAATACAAAAGACATATATATAGGGGAGATAGGGGCTAAGCTGGCATTTGAATTTTGAGTGGCAAAAATATATCTTATGAGTTCCTAATTTATATTGTAGACAGCATCTCGTGCGTCTTCTTTAACGAAGTTTGATTAGTTTAGGTTAGAAATCCTCAAGTAAGAGATGCGCGAATTGAAATCGCTACGGGATTGGTTGATGACGATGTTGCAAGAATATGGCGCAACCAATGGTGCAACCGTATTTTATTCCCACTTACATAAGATAAAACGCGGCGAACATTCACTGAAAGTGAATTTTTCAGCTAACATATTAAAAAATCGCTGAAATTTCTCTGAAATTTTGTTAAAATTTCTTCGAAATTTTTACTGAAATTTCTCTGAAATTTTTACTGAAATTTGTCTGAAATTTTGCTACAATTTTGCTGAAAATGAATTTTTCAACTAAAAATTGCTGAAATTAAATTGAAATTTTTCTAAAATGCTGAAATTTTGCTGAAAAATGTTCTAAAACATAAAATAATTTCAGCGAAATTTTTCCATCAGGAACCCATTGAGCCCTTTTGTCTGAATTTCTTGGGAAATGTTTCATAAGAAATCCCTTAGCCGCTGAATTTTTACAATTTGGCACACAACAGCCTGACATTGTTATTTTCTAGATATTACCTATAATTGTTTACTTATGCGTTATAAAGTCATGTACATTATAGGTTAGGAATATGCCGTTACAATATTTTCAATTACCACATCAATTTTACAACTTATATAGTATAATAATATTTTATTATAATATTGAATCATTATTATCTAAATTTGTACTTACAAACATACAAGTATCACACCATATGATACATAATGGAGGTCGCTATGTTCTTGCAAATGCTAGAAGTTCGCGCATCTCTTACTTGAGGATCTCTAGTTTAGGTACCGTGTGTTATTATGTTTAAATAGTCAAACGTGTTTTCGATAGTCAAAAGTAATTTTTGAGATTTCATTTTCCGAATCACATCATTTTTTTGTGTATATGGATGAAATGAAGTTGCAAATACCAAAATTTTTTATTGCCATCTTGTAGTCTTATAATCACTCTATAAAATGCTAATAATCATTTGACTAAAATTGTTTATTTTGTTATTAAAAGTTGCAATTGAAAAAAGGGTGCCCACTTAGCCCCGGTCTCTCCTCTATATAATATATTTATGTATATCATATATATATGTATGTATATCATATATAATTTGTTACTCGCAAGTTTTTGATACCAAAATGTTCCTTGGAACGTATACTATCGAAATATCCCGTTTCCGATTTTGTTGCTAACCCTAACACATGAAAAATCATTTGTTAAATTTTCCCAATATCCTTTTTGTTGATAGATATTATATGAATTCTTTATATTGTAACATCCGTCCGTCCGTCCGTCCGTCCGTCCGTTTTTAGTTGGTACTAAAATGTTCCTTGAAACGTATACTATCGAAATATACCCGGTTCCGATTTTTTTGCTAACACTAACACATGAAAAATAATTAGTTTACCAGCATCGGCGCTCGAGCCGAGCACTTTATCGTCTGAAACATTGTTTAAATATTATATATAGCTTTATACGAGCTTTATATGAGCTAATTTTTACAGCAGCAAAAAAACAAAGTTCAGTTTCTTTCTTTCTCTCTGACAGTAGTTTTCTTTATTGATCGAGAATCAATACCTTCTTTATCTATTTTTTCTTACTCCATTATTAGAAAATATATCAGTAAATCTATACTTATACAAAATAATTTCAATACTAATAAATTGTAAAATAATCAATAATAATGCAATATATTAGTAATAATAATTTATAAATTAGAGTATAAAAATCAACTCCATGGTGATCGTTTATGTACTAAAAGACTAGATGACTGTTCTCGGATATAAAATGCATATTTTTATTTTATACTTTCATTACAGATGTCCTCTATGCGATAGTTCGATTTATCCTTATTGTGGCGAGAAATTGTTCCACGACGCCTGCTGCTGTACCGATCCTTATGATTTACCTTATCAATGTAAATTAGCAGACTGTCGATTCCTGCATGCCAACAGCTGCAGGGAGCACAGCTTGATTGCCAACTGTTGTTGCAACGATGATTATCGCACCCTTCTGAAGAGCTTAGCGCAGAAATAAACCCACCACACATCGTGTATATTTATCATTTGCAAAATATATTACGAATAATATATACGACTGTAATGTGATAATTTGGTCACTCCAATATCCCCTTAATCAGTTCACTACTGGTATTGATTCATACGAATATATAAAAAAAAGTGCTACATCTGGTAATTACTCATACGTGACCATTTAAAATAGATTTGTTATCAGCGACCTAAAATACCCCTTATAAGATAAGCTTCCATGTAAATTATTTACTTTTACCAGATTTGACACAAAACGTTGATTTCGGATTCACCAGTGAACTTAACGAGACAAATAAAGTGTATAATAATATAATCAACGCGTGATATCATTATAAAAATTAACCAAGTGATTGTTAATAAAAATTTAAAATTAATAAAAAGTAGTTATATGTTTATAGAAATAATTAGTAGAAAAAATTATAAAAACCATTACAATAGGAAATATTAACTGCGATAGTGCGTTTTTGAGATGTTCCGCCGCAACTGCGACTAGGTTTAGACGTTGTCAAACGTCCGTAAATCGATGTAGCATAGTACGGGAAGGAAGAGTCTCGTTTCTTTCTGCAATATGTTTCAACGCTAAATGTGATGATGGTGATGATGATGACGAACAATTCCATCCAATCCTTTTTTCACGAGTATAAATAGTTATTTCTGATGTATTATTTTTACTTGCTGAATACGAATCTGTTACGTCCAGACTTCACAGTTCTTTTCTTCGATTAGAATTTTCGTCATCACCATAAAGATTATTATCGGTAGACCATCTGTTTCTACCAAGGGAGTTACGATAGTGACGAGCCAATTAACACTCGCCTTTTGGACTAGTAATCCACTCGGGACGGAGTCATCGAATTAAATATTCAAACCACATGTCGAATAAAAGAACTTTATCCTGAGGAACAGAAGAAGTAAATAGATTAAGGATTATAAACCGAAACGACGGTTGTCAATAATAAGTGACACATGTGGCTCTGAACTATCGAACATCCGGCAACTGGTCGATGACGAATGTTATTTTAGACACATATCCCCGTATTCCATTTCACAACCGATACCCTTAATCCTAATCCTACATTACCAGTAACATACGCGAGGCCTGCACGCAGGACTACTAACTCGCGAATATAAAAGGAGGCCCTTCGCGAGCAGCAGTCAGAAAGAATTTAAGCTCGAGCGAAGCTCTGTCGGTTTGCGATCTTACCAGTCCGCTTACAAGTAAGACACTCTGCCGGTCCGCGATTAGATTTTAATTGTGATCCGCGACACGGTCGAGTCATTTTGGTGTCTTCAAGTCACGTGGGTCCACAGGACATCCAACCACCAGGAAATCACTGAAGCTAACCTCCGACGGCCATCCTTCGAGACTAATAAAAACTGAGTAGCAGTAAGTTCAAGTTACATATATATATATATATATATTATATATTCACCGCGAAATCTAACTCGAGCTAACCATAGTGCCACGCTTAACCAATCGGCCATACAAGGG